CTGGCCTCAGGAAAGCATTGCAACCAGGAAAAGAATGACTATAAGGAATCCAAGCAGTTAGGCCAGCAGGTGGAGCTGGGGTTGTGGTGCTAGATTCCCACATGGCTGATCATGGTTTGAGTCTCAGACCTGGTGGCTTGAAACTCACACTGGGCACATGTGCATGCGTGCCCAAAATCCCAAAAGAAGACTGAAGGAGAAAGGATTACAGCGTGACCATCCCCCCAGGGAGTGATTTCTCACTTTCTGTCCTCTGTCTCTTTCTGTGTCTTGGGCAAGCACACGGGCCCTATAGCAAAAATCTCTTTAAAGAAAAAAAGCCACTAGCCTTATGTCCTGATTACCCGTAAGTCCATGGCCAACTGCAGTTCGAGTCCCAGACCTGGCAGCTTGCTTTCTCGCTTTCTCTCTTCCTCCTCACCCCACCCCCACCCCCTGTCCCTCTCTGGTCAAATTAAAATAAATAAATAAATAAAGTTAAACTAATTCTTCCTAAAAAAAAAAAAAAGGAGGGACCAGCAGATGGCATAAGGTTACACTGCTGAACTCCCACGTAGTTGGCTGTGGTTCAAGTCCCAGACCTGGCAGCTTAAAAATCACATCAGGCGCAAGTGCATGCGTGCCCAAAATTCCTAGAGGAGAATGGAAGAAGGGGTTGTGGCATGGCCATCCCCCTGGGAGGTGATTTCTCACTTTCTGTCTCTTTATCCCTTTCTGTCTCTCCAGCAAGTACATTTACCCTATAGAAAAATCTCTCTAAAAATATGTAAATAAATAAAAATAAAAAAGAAATAAAATAAAAATAGAGGCAGTCAGTAGATGGTGTAGTGGTTACCTTGCTGGACTCCCAAGCAGCTGACTTCAGTTTGAGTCCTAGATCCAGTGGCTAAAAAAACCACGCTGGTCATGTATGCATGCCCAAGATCCCAGTAGGAAAATGGAGGAGAAGGGATTGTGGAATGGCCATCTCCCTGGGGGGTGATTACTCACTTTCCCTCTCACTGTCTCTCTCTCCAGTGAGTGCATGTGCCCTCTGGCAAAAACCTCTAAAAAAATTAATTACAATGAAAATTTTAAATAAAATAAAAAGTAGAAATCTAAGCAGCATGTTTCTATGTCTTTCTGAACCCTGCTTCCTTCTAACATCTGTTTACTTCTTGACTTTCTGCAGACCGACTTTATATGCTGCTTAGTCTATATGAAAGACTATATGGTAGTCCATATGAAAGACTATAGTTTCCATGTTAGATATGTAGGAACATACTGAGACTGATTTATTTATATTTCACTGTACAAACTCTGTAGTAGGCCCAGTTGCAACTGGTGTTCATGCCAAAGAGATAGGGCCAGTGGGACAGGAACATTCAACAGATCAGT